GCTCCGCTCACCCCTCTGCTCCGCGCTCCGCTCCCGGCTCCGCTCACCCCTCTGCTCCGCGCTCCGCTCCCGGCTCCGCGTTGCTCCGCGCTGTTCCTCGCTGCTCTCCTCGGCTCCGCGATGCCGCCCGCTCTGCTCCGCCCAGCTCCGCCCTGTTCCCTGCTCCGCTCCTCGCTGCTCCCCGCTCCGCTCCGCGCCGGCTCCGCGCGGCCGCCCCCCGTTCACGCGCGCGGCGGGACGGGGCGGGCGCGGGGCCTCCCCCGACGGCGGCTTCAGCGCGGGGCGGGGGCGGGAGGGACCCTGGGGAGCGGGAGGGACCCTGGGGAGCGGGAGCCGGTGCGCGCGAGTGTTTAAAGGATTAACATGAAGCCAGCCTCCCTTCGGTCTGCCCGCAGACGGTGATCCACCCTTGGATTAACTACACCGATCACCACTGCGGTGCTTTGAAGAAAACAAACAGAACCCCTCAAACGTGGCCCTCACCTGAGCGATGGGGCGAGGGCGGCCCCGTCCCAATGCCGGGAGGGCCCCGCGGCCGCAGGCGGGAGCGGAGCCTTTGGCCCCTCTCCTCTCCCTGTGCCTCTCCTCTCCCTCGGGCATTTCGAGCTGCAGCCCCTTGGCAGGGTGGTCTCGGCTTCATCCTAAGCCCAAACTGTGTAGCACTGACTGCTGTAGCTACATGTACACCAAGGGGAGCGTGCATACATCCACACCTATAGACGTGTGCGTGCGTAGGTTCTGTGTGTTTATAAGATCTACATCTTCCTGCTGATACAGAGACTTGGGTCTAAACCACCCCCGTGCAGGTGCCGAGGTGGGCATGCGCAGGGAGGGCAGCTCCTCCGCCGCCTCCACGGGAGGTTCTGCCTTCACCCAGCGAGTCAAAAGTTTTCCCCCTTTCTCCAGAGCTTGTTTTGCTCACCTGGCAGCAAGGGCCCCATGCACAGCCCTCCATGTGGCTAATGGACTAGTGAAGAGCTACACAGAGGTATGAATCCATATGTACTCCATATATACATACATCCAGGGCAGCCCCAGGGTGGCTGCAGCAGCTGCGGAGCAGGGGCTGTCCACATCGTCTGTAATCCCCGTGTGGCTGCAGGGAGGGCAGGAAGGGGCCGGGCCGGTCCGCTCCAATCCCAGGATCTCGCTCCGTGCTGAGGCCGGGGGCTCCCGCGCGTCCCGGGGGGCTCCTGCAGCCCTGCCTTGGGGACAGGCTGCGCCGAAGCCCGCCCCGGCGCCGCAGCCGGCCCCGCATTATCGGCCCTGACGGGCTTTATGGATTAAAGAATGATGGAGTCCTCAAGTTCTGCAATATTAATGAGCGCGGCCATCTGTTAACGTGGCTGCAGCGCCAAGCGCCGCTCAGGCCGGGCGGCGGCGGCGGCTCCGCGCTGCCTCCGTGGCCCCACGTGCCCCCGGCGGGATCAGGAAGGGAGCAAAGAGCCCGCGAGGAGCTGCCGGGGCCGGAGAGCGGAGCTGGGAAGGGCCCCGCGCAGCCAGCGGGTACCGCAGGTACCGCAGCTAATTACAGCTGGGGTGGAAAGGTGCGTTAGATAACGCGGTGCCGAAGGGATAGACTCATTTAGCAGGTTAATTAGCGTCCTTGGGAGAACGCGGCGCTCCCCGAGCCCCCTCGGCCGGGAGAGCGGGTGCAAGTCGGGATAGGGAACAGGCAGGAGGCGGGAAGAGCCCGAGAGCCCCCACAGGGTCCAGGGCCCCCACGGCAGCGCTTCCAAAATCCTCCCTTCTGTTAAAGCTGCTCAAATCAGACACCCCCTCCAGGGACAAGGGGAGCTGGGGGTGCCCAGGCCGGGCAGCTGGGACCCCCGCTGCAGCCACGTCCAAGAACTGCCACCCTGGAGCACCCAGAGCCGGCGCCTGCCCCAGCCCACGAGGGCAGGACCCCTCCCTGCCTCAAGCAGATCTATCAACTCCAACCTCTCACATCCGATTCTCACTTAAATACTTACTCACAAGGGTTTTCTTTGCTGGCTGGCAGCAGGAGCTGTCTGCACATTTGCTACAACAGCGAAGCGATGTTTGCTGAAATACAATATTTGGAAGAGGCAGCCGTAGACCTGCATTTTCAACTCCAAACTAAGCACTTTAATTTTTAAGCAAGCCTTGCTCAGCTCAGTTAGACCTGGAACAAAGCTGAGATCAATTTACTTTTGGGGTTACCCCTGTTCCCGGCTCAGGGCACAGGCAGGAACCTCCTGCTTTGGCTGTTGGGCAGGACAGACACGTAGAGCTCTACAAAAAATAATCAAGTGCTAAACAACAGCAGAGCAAGCCAGGTTCCCACACACACCACACATCTATAGCACAAACTGATTGTCCAAGCTCACAATAACAAGACGGGATGTACAGAAACACAGGGATAACAGATTATCTACAAAGGTTTTATTCAGAACCTCATTGTTTTGGATACACCTACACTTTTATAGAAAACTTGAATAATTTAGCTGATTTGGGATAAAGAACTTGCAAAAGCCACTGCAAGCCTGAAGTGTGCAAAATAGGTACATCACATATTAGTATTTTTTCCCTCCCAATCTGAACAATGCAGACAGGAATCACAGTAGAACTAAAGAACATAATCAGGCTACAAACATATCTCTATTTCCAAATCCACAGCTTAAAAATCATCTGTTGAATCCTTATGATGGTCAACAACCCAAACGGGCATCAACACCAGCCTGTCACCTGCTGTAGCACTGCAGCAAAAGAAACCTCGCAGTTGAATAACCTCAGAAAAGCAGATTTTCTATGTACAAAGCAAGCTATTTACTGCATTAGGCCTTTCTGAATCTGATTTATTCAGGTTAAAAAAAAAAATCACACCCAACAACAAAAAGATGCCACTTGAGTCAACTGTATTTTATAATTATATATCCAATAAAGGAAGGGTCACAAACAGCCTTTCAACACACGCTGTTGCTGTCTCCAGTACTCAGGAAACATGTAGTTCCTCAGCAGCTGCTCTGCTGCAGAGCTTGCCCAGGACCCCATCTGGGCAACAGGGCAGCCGCAGGGAGCTGTGCTGCTTCCACGTGTCCCTGCTCCGCCCTCCCAAAAAGCACCTGGCTGCACACTCCGTTTGCTTAGATTTATGACCTCTAACTCTTAAACAACTGCATAATACCTGGATCTGAAAGAAATTTCAGCAATATGTTTGCTGCAATACAGCCACTCTTCACCTAAACTGAGGATTTTAGTTTTGAAGTCAATTCTTCAGCTGAATGTATTCCAAGGAACAGATGACAACCCAGGCAAAACACAAGGGGATCTAGGAAGATATTTAGATTAAGACAAACTGGAAGTCCTTAAGAATTTTGCTAAATTACATTTTTTCCAAAATGTTTATGAACTTGGAGACTTCATGGTGAGCTGTGGTGCCAAGAGGCAGGTGTCTTAATCCCTGTCCAAGGAAAAAAAAAATGATTAATACACTTCAATAACTTGTCATTTTTATATAAAGGAATTTAGGCTCAGACATTTCTTTCAGCAAACCTACTTGTGGGATGTGGTTATAACAAAAGCCAAGCTTATTCCCCTTCAAACTCTGCCTGACTTTCAATGTTTCTAACTACAGGAGAATTCATCTTCTGAAGGCTCTCCCTATGATGATTCCTCCCAAGAGAGGCAATAAACTAGATGAACTAAAGATACCTTCTTTAAAAATCCAAACTAATTAAAAGATGTGCTCAGCAGTTCAGCACATGGTAAGTTCTTTCTCAGCCTGCTGGGTTCAAGGGGCTGTCTAGATAGGCAACCGATGAGCTCCTAGGGACAAAAAGGGTGTCTAGGCTGCTGTGCCAAATACCTGCGATGTGGAGAAAACCACAGCGAAATGCTCCATTCCTGGAAATACCCAGGAACTGCTCAAACCCCTTTTATGTTGGTAGGAAGGGTAAAGTCACAATCTGACACGGCCAGAGTGCACAGCAATTCTGTTTCTGTGATCATCCCAAAATCCAGCTAGGACACACAGCTATACAAACAGACAAGCCCTCAAAACCAACTCCTCATCAACCTGCACATCTGCTAAGTACAATTTTGTTGTTGTTAGTTGTGTTGTTATTGTTAGTGTTGTTGTCTGTAACCTACAGACGTTAGAATACTTGATCACTTTAGGTTTCTCATTCTAGCTTCTCCATATATACCTCTTAGGCCAATTGTCTTGCTTAAGTCACCGCAAGCAAAGGACAGAACATATTTGCCTTTCAAATGCTAAAGTCTGTCCCTCATGCTTTGTTGTTAATTCTAAAATAGAGATACTTACTGCATTGTGAAAAAAGGTGCAAAGGTGCTTTGCCCACGGACACCTAAAAACAGATGTAGATTCTTAATCCATTGTTTCATAGGGAGAGAAGTGTCCAGTTTCAGCTACTCCCCATGTTTTCCATCCCCAATACTTCACCTGAAGACTAATTCAACAATTTGCTCCAAAGTTCAAGTAGAGATGATTTCAGCACCAGATTTAAAGAAGATATAGTTAGACTACAATAAAAAGGATTTCATGGGATCTTGGACCTCTGACAGAGTATACTGCGAAATCTCACAAAAAATGATGCTTCTAATCTTTTACTATTTGAGCCAAAAAGAGACAGTTATTAGATCTGTAAATTTCTTCAGTGTAACCAAGCTCATATAACTGAAATCAGCTATTTTCTCAACTACAGGGAGAAGTTCAGGGAGAAGGGAGAAAACACAAACATTTCTACAAAATCTGTTAGCTGAAAATCAAGGATGTGTAAAAGTTAAGAGTTACAGGAAGTGAATTCTCAACACGACTCTGCTGCCAGCTGCTACACATGTGAATTCAAAGTGCTGGAGCCAGCAATCCCTCTGCCTTCCCGTATATGACTGTGGAGTCATTTGATTTTAAAACTACTATGTCAATACATCAAAGTCGATCACTCTAAAGCCTGTGCTTTACTGCAGGACACAGGAAACCAAAGAACAAACTAACAAATAGCAGTCTCAAAGGTAAAAACTGCGCTGAGATTTGTAACCCAGATGTGGTATTTCTGCTCTTTCTGAGCTATTTTTCCCCCAGTACTCTTTTTTCTTTTTCCCTAGAGTAGGTGATTTCTCTTCTATTAAAAAAAGAGAATGATGGTGCTCATCACCTTTATTATCAACAATTATCAACAATAAGGATGTATGCAAGCAAGAAGGAATTACTAGTTAAAATGGTGTTAGCCAAAAGAAAAATATCAGCATTATTACAATGCAAAGTATCAGCACAGTTAATACTTTTTTTACACACACACACACACATATATATACACACACACACACGCAGAGTTTCATACTTACATGTGCAGGTTCTCTGTTATAATACTCAGAGCAAACAGGCCAATGGATTGCATTTTCTTATGCCTGCAAGTCAGGAACAAGCACAGGAATTCACCCACATACTGAGGACCAAGGTTTTGCCACCTAATAAACATAAAACACAAGAAAAGCTATAATGAATATAAGAAAAAAAATACACAGATCCATTTCACTCAATCCTGTCACTGGTGATGACTGAGAACAGATTCTTCAAAATGAGATTAGAACAGGACATACACGTTCAGGTTTCTTGTTACATGAGCAGCTGTATCAGGTCAGCTCAGTGGCTCCCTAGCCCAGTATCGTGCCTCTTGCAACAAGCACGGTGCTCGTCTTGGCCTTCTGCAAGCCAGACACATAGCAGGGGACACCCTGGACACCTTTTGTTTAAAGGAGGACAGCTGCTGGAGAACAGCATTACCTCATACAGATCTCAGTAATCTGGTCTCTTCTGGGGATGCTCTCCCCATCTTCAATGGTTCACAGCTCAAGGCCCAATCTTTGCATCAGGAGCGCTGTTTCCATGCTTGCCCTACCTGATAATCCTCCACATTTTTTCTAATTGCTTTTCAATCTGTAAAGTGTTTATAGTTTTAGCTGTGAACAATAGTACCCACAACATCCTGCACGAACAATATCCACAGCTCTATGTTGCATATACACCGACCTGTAAGCTTTGAGAAGCATGACCTTAATGGGCTTTGTTTTGTCACGCTGGATTCTCTTTATGCTCCGTAGGTCTGGTAGGAATAACCAGAACCACGAGCTCTTGGCTCTTCCAAAGCATGAAGCTGGCCACTTTCAGGGCTTACAGATTATAGCTGTGCTAAACATTACTGCTGTGGGACCACTCCCAGTGTTTCCACAAACACGCAGCCAGACTTCAGGTAGCAAATGCTCACTCACAGTTTCAGCATCGTTGCTTTTCGAGAATTCAGATCTCGCAATATCAAGTTGACAATGCCATGGAGGAGATGTTCTTCATAGGAAAGATGGTCTAATAATAGTCTCAGACCCCAAAAGTTATTCTAGAAAGGGACAAATTTTAAAAAACAAACCTATGATTTAACCTCTGCAACAGTAATTTTTTAAGAAAAAAGAAACAAACAAAAAAAACCCATGAACAAACAGAACTGTCTGCAAAGCTTAAAGAAAGAATTAAACGTACCTAAAACCAGCAAGCGATATTAGGTGGATTAAGTGTCACTTGCTTTATCTGTTAAATAGAACTCAATATCTAAGACTTACCCCAAATGCCAGGGCAATCTCTAGGAAGGAAGTCAAGTATGGAAGCTCACAGAAAACCATCTGCTGTACTGCCCGCACTGCAAGGATAAGGCAAGCCTCACGGTGCAACTACAGGAGGAAACATCAATAAACCCCAGTTTCCCACTATTTGTCCACTGTATGTAATCACATCATCAGAATATAACTATCATTCCAGTCAGAATGTCAATCACAGCATGCAGAATACTCTTTGAAAGACCAAAAATAGGAAAACAGACAGAGTTCTTCATTTACATAGCATCTTTTACTCAATTCTCTCCAAGTCCTCATAAAAACTTGATGTTTCACACCTCTGCTTCAGTAAAGCAGAACAATTAAGTGGAAAAGGAAACTTCTGGATGGGAGTCATGCAGGTGCAGACTAAGTTAAATGCAATTTCCTCAAAGAAAATAGCAAGTCAAGCAAGGTAAGTGACGGCATCATCTCCACTCCAAACCAACAACTCTCCATCGTGCTTTTCCAAACCATTGCAACTTGCACATTTCAAATTAGAAAACATTCTGACTATATTTAATAAACCTTTCAAAACATCTTTAGATATACTCCACTACAGTTAAAACATCTTTCAAAAAAGCTTGGAAATTCCATGTTATTCTGACAGTCACAGATATATGTTGAGACAAACAACACTGCAAGTCTCAAAAGACCTTGAACATGAATTAAACAGCTCAAGACGACTCAAGCTGAGATGCAAATAAAGGATTGAGAACTGTAAATGCTGCATTTTATAAATGTATAAATTTGGACAGCTGGGGATTAAGCCTTCTGCTGGGTTGAAGGTAGTGTCAGACCAGACTATAGGCTGTTCACTTTCACATATTTTGTCTAACCTTCAGACTGTGTTAAGAACAGCCTTATGCCACTTGCCAGAAACCTTCAAGTTTACTCTTAAAAGTTTGTCACAAAAACTCCAACTGTTTGCAATATGGCAATTTCTTGAAAATGTAATAAAAAAATAGGTTAATTATCTTATTACTATGTGCAGAGTTACCTGAGGAGAGAAAATGGCAGATGGTAAAGAAATATTAACTTTTGCCTTCAGTTCATCCAGAAGACCACTACTGGCAGCCAGCACCTCCTGCAAAAATAGTAACGAGTCACAAGAAGAGAAGGTGGCCCAGATATTCTGCATATAAACACTGGTCACGACAATTCTGCAAAATATTAAAATTTTCCCCCAAGCATCGCAGCTTAAGGCTCAAGGCAAAATGAGCCAAGCTGAACAGTTTTCACTAGAATTTAAGCATGGGTTTTACTGCATGCTTGCAGCATATCTTGTGTGAGGACAGTTGCTGCAATAGAGGATTTGCAGAGTCAGAATAACTGACACAAGTCAAACAACATTTTGCATGCAAGGATTAGATTTGTACCAAATAGAGTTTATAAAGTGAGGCCAAGAAATGCTTCCAGCTTATGGTATCTTTTTCAGTTACCTCTTGGAATTCAAGTGGTGGCTCCTTCAGTGACATGGGATGTAGGTATCCGTTTTTTCCCAGCAAACAACTACTGCCCAAAACCATGATGAGAGAACTCCAGCATTTGGGCTGAAATACAGCAGAACTTTATAAAGACACATCAGCCTTTTGGCCAACTAGATGGAACTAGGTAAACAAATTATCCAAATAAAAAACATACATAAACCAGAACCTTTGGACAAGCTGACACACATCCACTATTTTCAGAAGAGCTAGGTTTTTACTTTCCTTAAACTGAGGAAAAGTGTCTTCTCCAATTCCCCCTGTAGTGGAAGCACGTTACTTGTTTATGCTCAGACTGCACAGTAATTCTTGGGGCTTCCCCTTCTCAAATTCTGGAAGGGGCAAAACATCCCAACCACTTTGTCTTATCTGCAGGCAAAAGCAGTGCTTTCCTCACCTGCTGTGCTTCTATTCTATGACTCAAGAACAGAGCTGTAGCTGGTGTAATTACAGCCCCACCAATAAGCATCAAATCATGCACATCTTCAGATGAACTGCCTAAAATAGCTGCATAGCATAGGAGTAAAAATAAATCACTCAATAAATGTGTAGTGCTTTTGGTTACGGTCACATCATTACTACAACATGCCAATAAACTGGGTATCTTGCAATGACTACAGAAATGTAACATTTGTCAAAGTTTTATCAGGGAGACTCCAGCTGAGTCAGTGGACAATTTCCACAACTCGAGAGCTGTATCTGCTTTGTGGTAAGTACATCATAGCACCTGGAGCGAGGAGCCATGAACTACAAGGTGTACAGCTAGGGAAACAGGACCATTCAGATGACATTTGGTAAAAAAAAAAATTAAATTTTGTTTGTTTTTCTCCCTCTCAAACAAGGGAAAACAAAGAAAAAGCACCGACACCATCAAACACACCTATGAGCAGAAAAAAAGTTTCAGGAAAGTGTGACCTATGTAAAAAGCATCCTTCCTGACAGCAAATTCTCTGTTGGAGAAATAATGTGTTTGGACCAAGCAGACATGTACAGAAACGGTCAGCAGGCCACAGAAACAATTCTAATACAAACTCACATTTCTGTATAGCAAGAGATTGCTGTAAAGCAGTTTGAGTGCCTGCCTAATCAGAACACCATCTTTTAAAGGAGGCCCTGCAAGAAAAAACAAACATGTCATATTCCCAGATAATTACAGTTTATAAATAAAAACAAGATATACTACTTTATTACAGATTATACTTGAACACAACTCTAACAAAAATGAAAAGTGTATATGTCTGCAGCGTTTCTATACAGAGCCTACATCACCTGCAAAATGTTACTCCAGAAAGCTTCAGAAAGGACTAAAAACATTTTAGTCTAAGTGATAACAGCAGATGACCCAGAATAAAATCTTCATTGTGTTTACCATATCATGGTACAGTGTGGTAAACACTGTCACTCTCACACTTCTAACAATTATTCTAGTAACTGGACAGCTTCTCCAAAATAAATCTTTTACTCCAGAACACACCTTGTGGGCAAATTTATTGCTGAATTCAGAGTCCTTTAGAATGAAACTAAATTCAGTAAGAAAGCAAAAGCTGCAGTTAAGGAAGGCACTAAATGTATGAAAGCAAAGGGCTGTACTCGCCAATCGTAACCCAGGACCCAGAGTCTTGAAAATCCTTCCCGCTGGGGACGCTGCCTGTTCTGAACATCTTCAGGTAGATTTCGAATTGCAGCGGCGTTATCCGGCACGCAGTGCAGCACGCGAGGCTGTTGACCGGGAACAGCAGGGAATGTGCAGCATCGAGGAAGTCCCCAGTTTTACACAAGTAGAACGGGATTTTATCTCTAAGGTCTCTTAACCTGGAAGGAAGAAAAATAATCATTTGATTTTTGTTAGCACAGAAGTTTTACCATACCTAGCATCCAGCTTAACAACTAGAGAAACCACATCTGATAAGGCAGAAGGTGTTTGCGAGGCAATACTACTTTCTGTGAGCAAGTAACAAGCAATACCTTGCTGCTTTTCATTCTGACATTCAACTGCAGGCAAAAACAAAGACTAGGACATAATCTGAAAGCAAATTATTAAAAAAAGCCACTCACCCTTGGCTATCATTGCATTTCACTGCCCTCAGGTAGCGAACGACTTCTTTGTAGCTGGGGGGGAAGCAGACAGAAAGGAAGCATTAAGCTGTGCACAGATGAACTCAATATTTATTACAATTAGTAAAACAAACAGAAGCTCTTCCCACAGGGAAGATATAGCAGCACTAATAAGGAAAAAGACAGTTGGCTGCAAATACAAAATGCAAGTATTGTAAATTCACACTGCCTCTGTGTGATTTTCTGATAAACCCAAGAACAGGACAAATTTCTGGCTTATCACCACAAATTGTTTCATACTTCATTCAAACACAACTACTTTTACAATAGCTTAAGTGAAGATGACCTGAATGAAGCCTCAACTTGATATGTCTCTATCACAAAGCAGCAAGAAACCATAATCATTTAAAGGACACTTACATACTATTTTCTTGCACATTCTTTTCGCTTGGGGTTATTTTAAAGAAAATTGTGGAATTTAGCCGCTGAAACAAAGTTCCCCGGGGAAAAGCCTCCAGCGATTGCCAAGGTAGCAAACTGATCAGGTGAGACTTCTCTCTGCTGTCTCAATACTGGTTTATATAGCTCTGATAAGCTATGTATTCTGGCAAAATTCAAAATGAGGTTGCCCTTCTATTTAATTAAATGGCTTTTAGTCACACTTAAAGAGCCAGAGACCAGTGTATGCCTTTTACTATCTCCCACCTAGTCAGACTTTGAGCAAGAAGATTTGCTTTATATGTCAACATCTAAGAACTACTGAGGCTATGGGAACAAAATATTGTCTTGTTTCTGATTGGGAAATATTAAAAAAACAAACAAAAACTCCTAGACTTGTTTATAACACGTATTAGTTATGAGAAGCTTCGAATGTCTTCACTTTTATGTTTCCCTATAAGGTCTAACTTTTGCAGAACTGGAACACTGCACTGCAGTCACTACTATGCAAACTATAAAATTTGATCTTATGTAATGAAAGATCCAAAACAAGACCAAACCCATCTTACTTTGTTTTGTCTATCAATTTCTCCACTCGAGCCTGTATAACAGGGAGTGTTTCCCACAGAAATACTTTTCTTCCTTTCTGTGTTCTTTGACCAGTAATGTTCTGGCCTTTTAAAACAGTGGTCAGTAATCCATGGTCCCATGGTACAACATTTAAGCTGGAAGAAAACAAAAACAATTCTTAATGCACTTCATTGGTACTCTGATTTATTTTCTTTAAGTAATATGATTATTTTTCTAATAAAGTGCTTTGAACCTGAGAGTTCACTTCTGAAGAACAGTTGTATGGACAACAGCTTAGCCAAGACATTAAACAGCAATTTTCCATTACGGTAAAAACAAGTCAGGTAGAAAACGGAAAATAAAATCTTCCTATAACAAAATATGGATCTCTAGTACCAGAACTTTTCTCTACTGTTGTATTCAAGTCAGGCAACTGTATAAAAACATATTCTAAAAAGAACATACCTATTTGAGAAGCCAAAACAGTGACACGGCAGTGATATGGACTGAAAAAAGTTAACAAACTTTTCATACAAGCTTTTGGGGAAGTCGCATAACACCAGCATCCTTTGCAGTTGCGTTGTGATCCTGTGTTTTGGAAAGAAAAAAGTTAGATCTTTGAGAAATTTGGTCAAAATCTTTTAAAAGCAGATGAATCATTTATGAGACTCATGGTGTTTCTTTGTTTGTTTGTTTTTTGTTTCCCCCTCCCCCCCCAAACACAAGGAAAATCAGACCATAGGATTATTTTAATATCTTATATTTCAGGCGGACATTTTAGAACTAATTTTAAATTCACAAACAATAGGATTTTTTTTTAAACACCAATGAAATTGAGACTCTTCGTTCTTGCACTTTAAGACAAAGATCCAACTGAGTGCACGTGAGAAACTACTGCAGCAGCATCCGATGAGCTAGTTACATAACCTGTCTTCTCTGTTCTTTTAAAAGAAGAAATTAATAAACTCACAAGTAGTCACAGTTAAAATGAAAACTGATATAGGATTTAGGTTGTACCTATCATTAGTTCAAATAGGAGGTGGGATATATAATTGTTTTTGAGGGCTCCTAAAAAAAAGTTAATTCTTATTTCATTAATCTTCTGTTGCAAGCGAGTTTCAGGTTAAAGGTGAAGTATAAAGCTAAAATGAGAAATGAATTAAATCCTGTGTGCTGGATGTCCTCATTCACTGGCCTCTGGGGGGAACTTTACTATGCTACATCCCTGACTACTTCCCCCTTGTGGAGGACTAAGTAAGGCTGATGTTTGGGCTCTAAACAGACTCTATATCCTTAAGTTTAATAACTGCAAGTAGCTGTCTGACACCATCTTCTGGTCTGGCCTGAAAAAACACTTCTAGGCTACAGTTTAGACGTGATTCAAGAGTCTGAATGTCTACCTGGGGTTAAACAAGACAGATGCTGCACTTGTCCTTCAGAAAAAAAATGGACTTATATTCAAAAGAACTACTAAAAATTCTGGTTTGGAGGGCATGATTGTAAAGCACCACCACCTGCTAAGGTTGCTACCTGGGAGGTTGATTGGTGCAAACTTTCCTTTCTCTGTATTCTTCTGCCTGTCCCTACCCACCTGCAGTCTACCCCCAGGCAGCAGGGTCCTCTTGCTCTGGAGCTGTGCAAGTTTCCTTTTGGCTTTTAACAGTTAAAGCATTCACTTTTTTTTTTTCTTTATGCGTTTGGAGAGGAGTTGTTTTAATGGCATTTTGTACAATTTCCATAGCAGAACGTGTGTAGCCACCAAGGCTCCCCTTTGACACCTCACATGAGAGGACAAGTCTCACCTTTGCAGCAGACAAGGAACAGCAATCTTTAGTGAAGCAGTCTGACCAAGGTTCTGCCAGTTCCTAAGAACATAAATTTAACACACACAAAAAATATACTATTTAATTCTTATCTCCTTATCTTTCTTCCTTCTTTACACTCAACTGCTTAGAAAAACACTTTAAGAAGTATTGGCAGCTTACAAAGCACTAAAAATGATTCCAAACAGCTTTGAAAAAACCACAAATTGTAAAACACATCTTATATTCTAGAATTAACACTATTTGTTTTACGAGTAGAACTACCAAGAATATCAAGCCCATAGCCACAAGCACAGTACAGCAGCACCTACCCACCTAACCTGCTTCGTTGGATGAACACGTGCACTTCTTTGTATGGGGGCCAAAGAGGGGCATGCCAGCACCCCGCACGCGGCTCCAACCATGTCCCAGCTGACTAGAGCAAATGCCCTTGGACTCAGAAAAGTGCATCTGGAGAGACTTACTCGAGCAACACATCCAGCCTGTTCCTTCCAAATCCTGACAGTTCCCCAGAAATAGAATTGCAGAGAAGCAGTTGTGGTCTGGACTGATTTAACAGGTCAGAAATATTTATTTTGTAGATACCCTTGAATTTAACCCCCCAAATATTTAGATTTGAAAAGGAAAGTTCTGGGACCTTGCTCAGGGTAGGCAGTAAACCAACACGAAGCATTCACGTGCATCACAGCACACACACGATGTCAACAAGTAGCAAAGACTGAAATACCTAAACTATATTCAAAAAAAGAAACTTTCAATAAGGATTGTGCCCTCCTATTGAAACAGGCCAACTTCCTGTAAGTTTACAGGAGGGCTCTAACACCCACAGGCTGAGGAACAGCACATTCTCGCTTTCTAAAATTCAGGAGCAATGGTTTTCTGTGCAATGCAGCCTGCCTGTGATCATCTCAGGAAAGCTCCTCCCACGCTATATGTTCTCCTGTGAAGTCAATTCCCACCTGCTACCACTTGCTGTCCTCTTCTCTGTCCCCTCCCCTCCCCTGACATCATCTCTCCTCCTCTTACATCCAGCCTTTGCCCTTTGCTTTTCCCCCAAACCCTCCTTGTAACCAATACTCCTCTTCCTCCCATTGTGCTGCCACCAGGGCTGTGACCTTTGCAGCGTCCTTTCCCTTAATAAAGGAAAACCCAGCATTCTTGCTTATTCCCTTGGGAAGCAAATGAGGATTACACATGAGCTGTGGAACTGGATACTTACAAAGCAGGGTCTTTATGAAGTGCTATCTCTTTAGCTGCTCCCAGAAACATGACAGCAGCAGCTTTAGGATTTTCTCTTTCTGCCTGATTCAAAAACCTCGTTACCAGTGCAAAAACTCCAGAATACCTAGGAAAGATAAGCACTCCATGACACGCTTTGTAAACAAGTGGCAATCATGACAGTTCTGTAGTTTGAAAGCAAGTTGACTCATCTTTCCTTTGAAAAAAAAATCCAGAAAACAGTGAGCATAAGTTCTCTTTTAAGTTTTCTGAAGGCACACATTGGACTAAAAGAGGAATGCAGTACTAAGAGTAGTGAAAACATGGACTTGAGTGTCATACTTCCCCCCCTAACCTATAACGAGGAATATTAGCAAGAAGAGATGTATTTGAATATTTAAGAGATTGCTTAAACTACATCCAAGTGCAATCTAACTGTTCACCGCCTGAATCGTCTCAGTCATGTTTCTGATACGGCAGATTGCTATGATTCCAATTATTACTTGATTAAAGGAATGCAAACCCGCACTGACCAATACGCATTGCTAAGAGCTGAGTACTGATTTCTGTCATCACTTACTTGTATACAACCTCCATATGGCGAGATTTGCAGATACTGCATTGCCCAGGTGGCAGTTTTGGAAAACAAAAGCATTCGTGTTGTTTGGGGGGCATTCTTTCTCCAGTCAAATACTTATTATACTCCACAGAAAGTTCTTGGATAAATTTTATTAGAAGACTTCCTAAAAAAGTGGGCAGAGAAGATGCAAAGCAATTAGTGCAGAAGTTTTCTTCAAATCACAAAGGGACAGATGATCATTCACACACATCCTGTATAAAATATTTTGCAAGTTACTTGTGTCCAATCTTATTAGCCAGGCAAACGCGGTTGCTCCTTCCTGGAGGAGGAAAATGCATGACTGGAACTGCAGATTTGTGTTTTGTGTATGGCTCAGGAAAAAAACAGCAAGAACAATCTGCTACCCGAATAATCACCAAACCTTGGCTAAGAGGGCTGTGAACCAAACAATTCCTTCTTGTAGAGCATCAAGCCACAGACTGAGCAGCTGTTGGGTCACGGGTCTTCAGGACAATATAAGAGCATAGCACTTACCACCGCGCTGGAGGTCTGCGTCTATGTCTGTGAGCTCCAAATTGAACATTACAAGAACACCGGCCAAGGCAAAATCTCGCTGGTCCTTCCAGAACTTGCTTTTGTTATGTGCATTGCAATGACACAGGGAAGGGGTCGTCCAGTTCTGGCACTATTTCACAAACAGCAAAAGACAGGAAAAGTGTTTATTCCAGTTGAGCAAACCATGAGGTAGTTCCTCTCTGAATGAAGGTCTATACATTCACTTAATCTTTTACACGTCTAGGCAAAGACAGTGAGGTATTCTGACAGCCAGGGCAGAAGGTCAGTACTTGGACAACATGGCTTGAAAGGTAAAAAACCAACAAAACTCATTTTCCCTCAAATATTTTATGTGGACACTCAGGGATGGCATCCTCCCCAGCTGTGGGCTGCAAAAGAATACTGCTTTTGGGTGCTCCCACCAACATCTTTCACAGTTCAAAACTTCTTAACTCTTAAAAAACAAAACAAACAAAAAAACCCCAACAACTACCCCCCTCAACTTATTCTCATAAGGGTAGAAAAATATCTACAAGTTTCACCCTTAGCTATTGCTGGGAAAAGAAAACAGATTACTAAAACTCAGATTACTAAGTCTGCAAAATATACAGTGTTCCTCAAACAGGAGCTCTATTGGTTTATATCAAAGATCTGTTCCAGCAACTTACAAGATTACTAGAAATAACCTCAGACATTGACTAAATTGACTAAAGTACTGTGAAACAGAGAGATATCAAAATTTGAATGGAACTGTTAAGTTCATCAAAGCCGAATACAATATCTACTCTTTTAAGTGTGCATAAGAATGATTTCTTCCAAAGACTGTTGACAAATTCAGTTTAATCTAAGTTTTGTATTTCTTCCCCAAAGCTTTTCCTTACCTCAGAAGCTAGCTTATCACAAATGTAGCAGTAACACTCATTACAAATATCAGCATTTTTTCCAAGTGGTGAACACGTATCACATTCCATTCGCCTACAGAGTTGAAAAACAAAACATTATTTGTTTGAAAACCAAAACTATTTACAGAACAGGCTACGTATTTATCCACCTCGACTTCTGCTTTCAGCTCTTAAAATCCTAACAGGATTTCCTGCAAGAAAGATTAAATGTGGAAGCCTCCCTCCCATGTTCCTTTCCCCACCCTTGAACATACTCAAATGGATGCACTGTACAGTCGTATCTTGCATGAGGCATAACTTTGGCTTGTTTACAGAAAGTAACCATTAGTTCACATTCTTCATCCACAACCTCGCCAGATTTCTCCTCTTCCACCACGGTCTTCTCTGTAGAAAAGAAAACACACAGTATAAATCAGAAGAAAACAACAACAGCTTCATCACAAGTAAAATTAACTATTGAGGTTTATCTCTGAAATGCTTCAAGGCAGAAATCTTGTTAGGAATCTTTCATATGATGACAATAAAAAATATTGACCCGAGATAAAATCCTCCATCTATCACAATAGATAATTTAAAGAGATCCAATTATCATCTAAAAACAATAGCTTAGCGATATTTTTGGACCTATCCAGCAGAATTCTTTAGCATAGTTGCTGCTGTTGAAGAAATTTCAAGGTATAAAATATAAATTAATGCTTTGTATGGACTTTGGGAGAACAGGTATGCTTGGTTTTGTCCGTATTCTGCCACTTTAAGTCCTCAAGATTAGGTTGTGAAAATAACGACAAATGCACTGTTTACAACGCAGGCTGCACCAGAAACGAAGTCTTTTCCAACCCAAGCTCCTCCGTGGTTTTACTTCAGTTTATTTCAAAGATTTCTTTACAAAACCTCACAGGCAGCAAAAGTGCAGGGCTTACTTACCCCGTGGATCTACTAACACAACAGAATTCCCAAGCGTGTTTTCGGCTTCATCATCGCTGATCAGGATTACGCTCTCCTCCTTCTCATCTCCATTCGACGGCCCCATGCTTACGGAATTCCAAAGGAAGGGACCTACACGGCAGCAAACAGGGCAGAAAGATGTTCCCCGGTTACAGAGGTCCTTTCCTCAAGAGAAAACCCACATTTTCCATCTATGTTGAATAAACTGCCCTAGGGATAGATGCATTTAACCCTCATGGGAGCCAGCAGCTCAGAATATGCCGCGCTTCCCGCCTCCTGGCTCCCCCCTGCCACACAACGCACCCCCCAGCGCCCCCTCTCTGCCCCACACCGACCTCCCCCTGGCTCCCCCTGGCTCCCCCTGCGCCCCACAACCCCCCTCCCGTCTCATACCTCCCCCCCGGCTCCCCCCAAGCCCTTTCCCCGCCCCCGGAGCCGCTCCCACCGCTCACCGCGCGCCCCCGGCCCCACAACGGGCCCCGCGCGCTCCCGGCCGCCGCCGCCGCCAACCCCGCCACTCTTTGAACTAGCAACGCCTTCCGAGGTGGCGCCCCCGGAAGCGCTCCGGCGCACTGAGGCTGGCAGCGCTACTTCCGCCCTGACCTGGGCCCGCCCGTCCGCGGCCCAGGCGGCCATCTTTGGTGAGGGCAGGCCGCGCGCTTCGCGCCTCGGCGGGGCGACGTCCTGCCCGGCGACGAGCGCAGCGGTTCGGCCGCCTCCGCTGGGCCCGTGTGGGCTAGAAACAGCGCGAAATGGGCGCAGTATGTCCCCACAGGGCCCCTTCGTGTTGGGCTCGGTGGAGGACTAAGGTGGCTGCCATGTCAGGACAGTGAAAGCACCTCGTGCCCCGCCACCTCGTGCCCCGCCATCTTGTGCCCTTCCACCTCATCCCCCGCCATCTTGTCCCCCACCACCTTGTCCCCCGCCATCTTGTGCCCTGCAGCCTCCCCTGCAGCGCCTTGGTGGCCAGGGCCAACCCTTCACGTCCCCAACCATGTCCTCAAGGCCAAGGTGCTGCTTGGCTGCCAGTGGCACCAAGGCCGCGCCAGGCCCGGCCCGCCCGCTCCTGTGGTGCTTCCCTGCCATTATCACCTGCAAATTCCTCCCTCAGTTCCCTGAAATTCTTCAAAATTCCTCCTTAGGCTCCCTGAAATTCCTCCCTTGGCTCCCTGAAATTCCTTGAAATTCCTCCCTTGGCTCCCTGAGCACGGACAGGCTCGGCTGTTTTGAGCTCGCCCCGTAACACTAGATGGTACTAGAGCTCCGTGAGGGGAAGGCAGAGCCAAAGTGCCCAAAAACACGGAGACTGCGGAGCACGGGAAGCTCAGGACGCAAAAGTGCCGCTTGTCCTATCACTATTGCAAAAAAAAATTTGCTTTTTTTTTTTTCCCAGGGGTAGAGCAGGGCAGAGGAGCCGCTGATAAAATAAGGACACTTTCCTAGTGTTCAGTACTGCAAGTGTAATGTAATATTTGTGCATAAAAATTAGTGGCAAAGTGAATGTATTACAGCATCTGGTAGAGAGGAATTTGAGGGCTAATTTCAAGATTTTTTTTTTCATTATTTGTTAATAGTTCAGGGAAAAACATGCAGGTATTTTAAATAGAAATGGCCATTAAATCATAAAATAAATGACATGTATTTCGTGTATTGTTACTTCTAAAAACTATCGAAACAACGCTTAAAACAGGATCACCTCTTCCTGTAAGTGGCCGCATGCTGTGCCATGCGCTGCCCGAAATATTCATGTGCTAAAAAAACCCTCTCTGCATTGAATATTTATTCCATGAATAATCTTCAATGTCTTCATAGCTTTCGACACATTTGGGCCAAAAGTCTCAAGTTTCTGAGCTTGCAGCGAAAAAATCTCCATTTGACACCTAAATAGGTGGCCTGATTTCAGCTGTACGGAGCACTTTTTGTGCAGACGTTTCCTCCACAGAGCTGCCTCTGTAGCATGACGGCACTTTAGCAGCCGAGGGCAACCCGGCGCAGCAATTTAGGTGCTGAAATGAAGTATTTGAGATAGCAGGGAGAAATAATAATAAAGGCAGCACTGGCGTGTGGCCAGGGTGACTCTCCCGCAGCTCGGCTCTCATGCCGCAGTCCTGTGTGATGAGCTTATGGCTAAATATGGCCAGGATTGAGGGCTGCTTCTCATCCAACGCACAGCGAGGCTGGTGTTTCCTCTCCTTCCACATGAAGGCTTGGCGGCGGCCGCCTATTTTTAGTGGTGTGGGTGTAAAGTGTGCTGGATGAGTTTTGCGTAGCCTGAGCTCGGCCCTGTGGTGCCATGGTGGCTTTCACGCCCAGATGTAGCCGAGCTCGAGGTGCAAGACTGGCCCCATGGGCTCCTTCCTTGTCTGTATCCCGAAAACTGTTCCCCCTTGCATTGATCCTGCTCTCCCGCTCCGGGGCCATGTAGCTCACAGCTCCGCATGGCCATCCACGAGCTCATGAAGTCGCCACATGAGGATGAGCATCCAGAGAATTGCCACGGTCTCAGCAAGGAGGCAGCGTCACTCAGAGCAGTCACCGTGGTCCGTATTCAGTCCCATCAGGGTCTAATTGAAGGCTTTTATTAAGCTCAGAATAAAGAAATAGGCAGTGCTGTGCTTTGCTAAAGTGGTTGTCGGGTGTTGGACCAAGGCAGTGTGGCTGCTCTGCAGAGCCCTGGTTTATTCCCATGGAATGGAATAAACCCAGGTTTATTCCCATGGAATAAACCCATGTTCGTGGTTTATTCCACATGGAGCGGTTCCCACACCGGCCCCATGCAGGTGCTTCCAGCCGCTGTGACAAAGAGCAGCCTGTGCCAAGGCTGGGCACTAACAGCGACTTTGGCTCCCTGGGATCGCGCTGCCGAGGGGCCGCGGGGACGGCCTCCCAGCCACCCGCTCCTGAGTAAAACTGGAATGTGTCTGTGACCGCAGCAGCAGAGCTGCAGAGCGAACAGACCATTAAAACGTCCATTCGAGAAAATATTCACGTCCCATTTATATTTACTGCTGCTTCATTCTGTTGAAAGTCAAAGGCCCGTTTGTACCCGATGAAAGGCTCAGGATAGATCAATTGGCTGGAAGGGGCTCTGCGGACTGAAACCTACAATTCCACGCGGACAAGTGCTAATCCATCAGCCTGCTGAGCCCAAACAAGGTGTCGCAGATCCGTCCAGGAGCCCTGCATTGATGCTTGTTCGGCCCAGAAAACCATGTTTGGTGCTAAAACTGTAAAAAAGGATTCCCATAACCGAGCTTTTGGGGAAAGGGCTGTGGGCTTTTCTAGCTACCTGGGGTGTCTTTGCAGCTTTGTGGCCTCTGCTATGGGCAGACTTTCCGTGGTGATTGCAGGTCCCCCCTGCTTTCATCTTCGACGTGCACATTGCAAGGGGCTGATGAGGTGTCTGCCACGTGGGACCAGCTCTGCACGAGGAAACAAACCTGACCGGATGGTGCCTGTAACGTACCTGATCATAACGCTGCTCGTGTCCCACTGTCACCGTGGCACGAGGATGCCATCCTACGTGTCCAAAAAGCAGGAGCTGGGAGGAAGGGTTGAGAATAATGCTTCATATTGAAGTATGAGCCGCATTGTGCTGCGAGGGGGAAGAAGGTGGTGGCAGAGCAAGGAGAACACGCGCCGTGTGTTACCTGGGGTCTGCCCGGCCGCAGAAAGCTTTCGTTTGCAGCCGTGAACAAGGATGATTTATGTGGTGGCAGTGCCGTCTTTCCTGTGCAGCCCCTCGTAGTTACTGTGCTCTGGGGCCGGTTCCACCAAACTGACAGCAGGTTGAAACCCCGAAGGCAGCAAGTCCCCGAGGGTGTCGTGACACGGGTCTGTGTGTGACAAGGAACCCTCTGTTTGTGTCTTCCCTGAGTTCCACCTTGGTGAGAAGGCTTCGAGTGTGGACACAGATGCTAAGTGTCCCCACAATGGAAAAGCCTGGGTAGTGTCGGTGCATATGGGACACCAGAGACTCCACACAGGAGACCAGGCGGCTGTGGGTGGCTATCCAGGCGGGATAAGATATTCCTGAGGCCTTTTTCCCGCCCGGCTTCCCAGGGCTCTGAGGGAGGGCAAACCCCCACGGCAACCCTGGCTCAGCTCAGTTTCAAAGCCCATCAGGGTGCAGGTCCTATCAGACCAGGCTTCATGGGTCCAGCTCACAGAGCAACGTGCCTTTATTTGTGCTTGGAGGAAAACGGCCCATTTAGCTCCTTCCCTCATCCTTTCCTCCCTTTCCAGAGACCAAATAAAGCGGGAACGGAGCAGTCATCCAGATGGAGGGTATTTCAGACGCTGTAAAAAGGCTGGGCTCTGCAGCAGGACAAACCGTGGCCGATGGCCCTGGGAGGGAGGCTGGGACGTGGAGATGCTCCCAACCTCGGCACGGAGGACCAGATGGATCCGAGCGGCTTGGAACGGCTTCAACAATCTGCTCGCACCCTCCTCCCCTCCGAGAGCGGCACAAATCCCTGCGCATTGCAGGCTCCTAGCGAGTCCCTGAAATACTATCAGTGTGTTTGACACTCTACCTGCCCCTCATCCCGCCTGGCTTTCCACAAAACACATTTCCTCTGCTTTCAGGAAAAGAGAAAAAAAAGAAGTCGGGTTCATTCAGACGCTGCCACTTCTCTAACACTAGGGCGATCGAGTCTCCTCCGTTTTATATTTGGTATTTTAATAGGGTTTTCTTTGAGACCTTTAATGAGTTTTTATTCCCTTTTGTATAGCAGACGCTTCAGTCCGACCGACAGTTTTACTCACCCCATGTGGAGTAATATGAACAGGCAGGACAACCTTTCATCCCCGTGGCAAGGTTTCCTGTGCCAACATTTTCCCCAAGCTCGCGGTCCGGAGGATGAGTTTTGACCCTGGGCTCCCAGGGCCATCCCTGCCTTCGGGCAAGGACATTCCCGCTGGTGCCAAAGGACATTCCCTGCCGCCCCTGCTCGCAAGCGCCCGCAGCTTCTTAGTGAAGAAGGGGAGAAAAGCAGCAAAAGCAAAGCAACCCAAAATCCAGTGTGGGGTTTGCAACCGCGTTTTGCTGCAGTGCTCAGCTCGGACTCGCAGGACATTTCCCCCAGTGCAAATATGGGGACACATTTTACCTCATTTTGTCCCGAATTTATGAGGATGGGAATTTCTAGCTCCCATCTCCTACCTGCGAGGCAAGCAGAGTGGTTTCCAGCTCTTGTCCTTAATTACACAGGTCTAACAGACTCACAGAATTTAAAAACACATGCCATTAAACATTACACGTTAAACTCAGCCTTGGGTTTTTTTGATGTCGTGGAAGGCTTGTGCTCATCTGCTGAGAATTAGGAGGTTATTACTCTGCGGAAGCTAATCCAAATTGCCTGTTATCCATAGGCAGAAAATTAAAGGAATATTTAAGCCCATTCCACAGATTACAAACTTGGTGGCATAGCTCTGAAACCAGTAGTATTAGTATCTTGCATTTGACAGTT